ACCACAGGCAGAGAAGGGTGCACAGGACACATGGGGTGCCCAAGGGGCAGCGGTGCCCAGGGTGCAGCCTGGCATGGGGTGCCCATGGGCACCCCCCGCAGGGTGGGGGTCCCTATGACCAGGGGTCCCCCCTGCACTGCCCACATTGGGGTGCCAATGGCAGATCCCTCATGGTGGTCCCTACAGTGGGGTGCCCATGGTGGAGTCCCCTGTGGCACGACCCATCCATGGCATGGGTGCCCATGGTGGGGTGTCCCCAGGCGGGGTGTCCCCATGGTGGGGTGTCCCCAGGCGGGATGTCCCCACGGGCGCACTCACCAGCACTGGCGCAGCAGCACCTTGAAGCCGTCGGGGCAGCCGGAGGGGACGGGCAGGTGGAGGCTGTTGCTGCCCACCCCCCAGATGATGGCCGAGGAGTCCACGTCCTTGTAGGGGATCTCGCCCGTCAGCAGCTCCCACAGCACCACCCCGAAGGACCTGGGGGCACCGGCACCCATGGCCCCCGTCACCCATGGTTGAGCACCCCCAGTGTCCTCCCGCTGTCCCCTGGTCCCCCTTGCCCTGCCCCGGTGTCCCCTATGTCCCCTGCCCCCCTGATGTCCCTGATGTCCCTCATTCCTGTCCTTGCAATGTCCCCACCAGCATCCCCAATGTCCCCATCTCTGTTGTCCTGGTGTCCCTGAGGCCTCATGTGTCCCTGCAACGTCCCCTGTTCCTATTGTCCCCAATGCCTCCTGTGCCCCCCAGCGTCCCCATTGCCTCCCAAAGGCCCCTGTGTTGCTGTGTCCCCAATGCCATCACGGTTCCCTGGTGTCCCTAAGGTTCCCATGTCCCCGATGTCTCTGTGCCCTCACCAGATATCGACCTTCTCGGAGACAGGCTCGTTGCGGATGACCTCGGGTGCCATCCAGGCCACGGTGCCGGCGAAGGACATCTTGGTGCTCTTGTCAATGAGCTCCTTGGAGGTGCCAAAGTCCGAGATCTTCACCACGTCGTCATAGGTGATGAGCATGCTGGGGGGCACCCACTCAGCGCCACGCCAGCGCCACACCAATGACACGCCAATGACACGGGCACGGCACCGCCACGGGCATGCAACTGCTACGAGCATCATCAGATCATGGGTGTGCCACCACCACGGCCACAACACCACCATGACCATGGCACCACCACAGCCGTGGCACCACCACGGCCATGGCACCATCACGGGCACGCCACAGCCACGAGCACGTGTCACATGAGGGGAGGACCCATCCATGGCATGGGTGCCCATGGTGGGGTGTCCCCAGGCGGGGTGTCCCCATGGTGGGGTGTCCCCAGGCGGGGTGTCCCCATGGTGGGGTGTCCCCAGGCGGGGTGTCCCCATGGTGGGGTGTCCCCAGGCGGGGTGTCCCCACGGGCGCACTCACCAGCACTGGCGCAGCAGCACCTTGAAGCCGTCGGGGCAGCCGGAGGGGACGGGCAGGTGGAGGCTGTTGCTGCCCACCCCCCAGATGATGGCCGAGGAGTCCACGTCCTTGTAGGGGATCTCGCCCGTCAGCAGCTCCCACAGCACCACCCCGAAGGACCTGGGGGCACCGGCACCCATGGCCCCCGTCACCCATGGTTGAGCACCCCCAGTGTCCTCCCGCTGTCCCCTGGTCCCCCTTGCCCTGCCCTGGTGTCCCCTATGTCCCCTGCCCCCCTGATGTCCCTGATGTCCCTCATTCCTGTCCTTGCAATGTCCCCACCAGCATCCCCAATGTCCCCATCTCTGTTGTCCTGGTGTCCCTGAGGCCTCATGTGTCCCTGCAACGTCCCCTGTTCCTATTGTCCCCAATGCCTCCTGTGCCCCCCAGCGTCCCCATTGCCTCCCAAAGGCCCCTGTGTTGCTGTGTCCCCAATGCCATCACGGTTCCCTGGTGTCCCTAAGGTTCCCATGTCCCCGATGTCTCTGTGCCCTCACCAGATATCGACCTTCTCGGAGACAGGCTCGTTGCGGATGACCTCGGGTGCCATCCAGGCCACGGTGCCGGCGAAGGACATCTTGGTGCTCTTGTCAATGAGCTCCTTGGAGGTGCCAAAGTCCGAGATCTTCACCACGTCGTCATAGGTGATGAGCATGCTGGGGGGCACCCACTCAGCGCCACGCCAGCGCCACACCAATGACACGCCAATGACACGGGCACGGCACCGCCACGGGCATGCAACTGCTACGAGCATCATCAGATCATGGGTGTGCCACCACCACGGCCACAACACCACCATGACCATGGCACCACCACAGCCGTGGCACCATCACGGCCATGGCACCATCACGGGCATGCAACTGCCATGAGCACGGTCCTGTTGTGGGCACGCCACCGCCATGGGCACAGCACTGCCACCACCATGAGCATGGCACCACCGCGGTCATGCAATTGCTATGGGCATGGAACCACCACGGGTACGGCACTGCCATGGACGTACAACTGTCACGGACATGCAACCCCCAAGGTCATTGCACTGCCACGGGCACAGCAATGCCATAGACATGTCACCGCCATGGACACGTCACTGCCATGGACACAGCCACCACAGACACGGCACCGCTATGGGCACGCAACTGCCATGGGCATTGCATCGCCATGGGCACAGCATGGCCATGGACATCTCACTGCCATGGGCATGGTACCACCATGGCCACTGCACCGCCATGGGCGTGCCACTCCCCCCGACAACCCCCCCCCCCGGGGGGGTGGGTCCCGCGAGGCCCCTTCCACCGCCATGGGCAGGGCCACGGACATCTCACTGCACTGCAACAGTCATGCAACTGCTATGGGCATGGAACTGCCACGGGTACGGCACTGCCATGGGCATACAACTGTCACGGACATGCAGCCCCCAAGGTCATCGCACTGCCACGGGCACAGCACTGTCATGGACATGTCACTGCCGTGGACACGCAGCCACCGTAGACATGGCACATGCTGTGGGCATGCAACTGCCATGGGCACTGCATCACCTTGGGCATAGCGCGGCCACGGCACCACCAAGGACATGGCACCACCGTGGACATGGCACCACCGTGGACATGCAACTGTCACCGACATGCAGCCACCGAGGACAACGTACCACCACAGGCATGGCACTGCCACGATCATGCAACCGCCACATGCACGTCCCCACCACGGGCACGGCGCCATCGTGGGCATGTCACCGCCTGGGATGCCCACCCCGGCACCCATGGGTGCTCCCCGAGCCCCCATCCCCGCTCACTTGGGCGACTTGAGGTCGCGGTGGATGATCTTGTGGAGGTGCAGGTAGTTCATGCCGCCGGCGATGCCCATGGACCAGTCGACGAGGAGGGAAGGGGTGACCTTGCGCCCGGCGCGCAGCACCTCGTACAGCTGGCCCTGGGCGCAGAACTCCATGATGATGCAGTAGCAGGGTGCCTGGGTGCACACACCCCTGCGGGCACAGCAGCACCCTCAGCACCCGCTGCCCGGCCAGCTGGGGCACCCAGCAGCACCCAGCAGCACCGGGGCACCTGGCTGCACCGGGGCACCCGACTGTATTGGGGCGCTTGTGAGCACCCGTCTGCACCAGGACACTTGCCTGCACCCAGGTACCTGTCAGCACCCATCAGTGCTGGAGCACCCATCTGCACCCAAGCCCCCTGTTAGCACTAGGAGCACCCATCTGCACCGCGGGCACCCCTCTGCACCCAGACACCCAGTAGCACTGGGATACTGGGGCACCCATCTGAACTGGGGCACCCATCTGCACCCAGGCAACCATCAGCGCCAGAGCACCGGGGCACCCGTCTGCACCCACGTCGCCCTGCCCTGTCTGTGACAGACCTGTCCCCTGTGTGTGGCCGTCCCCTGTGCCACACGTGGGACATGCCAGCCTGCCCCGCGCCCCTGGTGTGTCAGTACCCCGTGCCCGTGCCGTACCCTGCCCACCCAGGTCTGTGCCGTGCCGTGCCGGTGTTCCCCACGCACAAGCCGTGTTGGTGTCCCGTGCCCATGTCGCATCCGCGACCCCTACGCCCGTGCCCATGGCACGTCCACGCCCGTTTCCATGCCGTCCGTGCCCACGCCACGTTCATGCTCATGCCCATGCCATGCCCGTGCCCTGTGCCCACGGTGTTCCCCATGACCGTGGCTTGCCCATGGCGTGTCCACGCCTCATGCTGCGTTCATGCCCGCGACCACGACGTGTCCGTGCCCTGTGCCCACGGTGTTCCCCATGATCGTGGCTTGCCCATGGCATGTCCGTGCCCCATACCGCGTTCATGCCCATGCCCATGCCGTGTCCATGTTCCATGCCCATAGCATGTCCACGCACCACACCCCGTCCACGCCCCGTGCCACGTCCATGCCTTGTGCCCATGGTGTTCCCCAGGACCACGGCTTGTCCGTGCCGCATCCACCCTCCGTGACCGTGGCATGACCATGCCGCATGCCATGTCCATGCCCTGTGCCCACGATGTCCCCCATGCCCATAGCATGCCCGTGCCCCACGCCGTGCCCCACGCCCGCGCCCCACGCCCATGCCGGTGCCGGCAGCACCCACGCTCACTTGAAGGTGATGATGTTGGGGTGCTTGAGCTTGCGCAGGTGCTTGATGTCGGTCTCCTTGAGGTCCCGCACCTTCTTCACGGCCACCTCCTCGCCGTGGAAGCGGCCCAGGAAGACGGCGCCCTGCGCCCCGCTGCCCACCCACTGCAGGTCCAGGATCTCCTCGAACGGCACCTCCCAGGGGTCTGCAGGCACCCACGCCCATGGCACCCGCACATCGGCACCCCCGGTGCACCCACGCCCATGGCACCCGCACATCGGCACCCCCGGTGCACCCACGCCCATGGCACCCGCACATCGGCACCCCCGGTGCACCCATACCCATGGCACCCGCACATCGGCACCCCCGGTGCACCCATACCCATGGCACCCGCATGCTGGCACGGCCAGGGTGCAGCCCCCCCCTTGGCACCCTCACCTCAGCCCTACTGCTCCCGCCCTGCCCCATTGCACCCTCTGCACCCCAGCACCCCACTCCCTGCCCCACTGCCCCCTCACTTGCCCCACTGCCCCCTGCTTTGCCCCACTGCACCCTCCCTGCCCCTTTGCACCCTCCCGGCCCCGTAGCACCCT